CCAAAAAACACAACAATTTAAAAGATAAAAGCATAAGAGGGATTCAAGACACGATCAACAACCACCACTAGTACATTCATGGGCAAAGTGACCATTCTCACCAGCAAGTCTTGTCGCTTTGCTAGGGATTGTAGCTAGAGTGAAGGCGGTGAAGGTGATAAATACTCCGATGGTGGTGGTCGTGGCAATGGTTTCTACAAATGTGGTGAGGATAGTTACTTTGCATGTGAATGCACCAGTGGTGGTCGTTGATCGTGGCTTGAATCCCTCCTATGTTTTAATCTTTTAAATTATGTTTTTCGGTATTTATCTCTAGTTGAGATTGTTACTTTATTTTATGTTCTTTATCATGTATCAGTCTGAAGCTTTTTTGTTGTGCGTAGTAGTTTTTCTGTTCATGTTGCAAATGACACTCTCAATATAACTATACATGCTCACAGGTAAAAATCAAATGTCTCTACAATACAATCATTCCTAGTAATCCTCTTGTGTTCTCTTAGCGATTCCTCAAGTGTCGCACGTGTGTTCTGTTGAAGACTAAGTCTGTGACGTTAAGCTGTATTAAAAACTACCAGCTTACTAACTTATCGAGTACATTACTCTTGATAGTAGGCTGTGAAGGTCGAGGATCAGGCTAGAAGGTTAGTTGGTAAGATTTTTGTTCACTTTCCTTGAGTATTAGCATTATATTCGTTTCTTTCCCCCTTTTTAAATTTCTATCACTGCCTTTTATTTCTATATCTTGGTATTTTGATTCTATTTGTTGCTATTGGCTTCATTTCATTGTTTGCTCATCAAAGGCGCGCTTTATCACGCTTAAGCCCTAAAGAAAGGCCCAAAACGTGTTGAGCACGTTGCGTCGCTTAATGTGCGCTTCAGTGTTGTCTTGAAGGTTCTAAGACAAACATTTCTTTGAAAATGAACTTCTTTATGAAGAAGTGAAACTAAATCATTGATATTTCACTTTATTGTTAAAAAAATCAATTTCTTGTCATATATTTTTCATCCATGTCTATAATTATTAGTCTTGAACTATACGCGCACACACACACACACACACATACATATATATATATATATATATATATATATATATATATATATGTATGTATGTATTCTTTTTACCCTTTGCGCCTTTTTTCATTAAAGTCCACACTTTATTTGCGTTTAAAGCCACCACGGACCTTAAAACTATTTTGCGCTTTTCACCTTTGATTACACTGAGCCAAGTTCACTCTATCCTCCCCAAACCTCACTTGTGGAAACCAGTGTTATCAAAGGCAAAAAACGCAAAAAGCTCTAAGGTACTGAAGGCTTTAAGCGCAAAATGCAAATAAAGCGTGATCTTTAATGAAAAAAGGTGCAAAGGAAGATAAGAATATAGATATTATATTTAGTCTAAGACTAATAATTATAAACATGAATATCAAATATATGACCACAGAAATTGAATTTTTTTATGAGAAAGTGAAATATCAATTATTTAGTGTCACTTCTTCATACGAAGCTCATTGGCAAGGAAACATTTACCTTGATGACGACACTGAAGCCCACAGCACGTTTTGAGCCTCGCTTATGGAGTTAAGCGCGCTTAAAGATAACACTGGTGGGAACACATCGGGTTTGTTGCCGATACATTGTAAAAGTAGACGGTTAGAATCTTGATCATGTTTAGTAGCTAATAAGTTTCCTAAATTCATATTTGTCCAATTATGTGAACGTTTGAAGACTTCCTTTAATAAATTAGGGTTCAATTTAATGCGCTTTTTCGTTAAGAAAAAGCTTGCACATGTTATGAACTGTGAAAATCGATCAGGCTATCTACTTTTGGTTACGGTGCAATTAAATGTGCATCTCAGAAGGAAAAAGCTTGCGCATGTAATGAACTGAGAAAATCCATCAAGCTGTAATTTTTTCAATTTCAATGGTTACCAAAAAAAAACGAAGGATTTTAAACTTTTGAAATTTTAAAATGTTTGCTTGTGTCCTTTTTAAGGGAAGGCAGGCTAGCCTCCTCTCCACTTCTCTGTATCAACAATATAAACAATGTTGTTTAGTATTCACATAACTTATTGTTAGTTCTTTGTTTCTTTTTTTTTTTAATTTTAGAATAGAATCTTGAATAATCAATAAATTGCTGGCATCTTTGCATTTTCTATGTGAACAATTGAAGAAAGCTCAGGACTTTGGTAGCGGTTTATCTCATGTTTGATTCAGAAGTTCATAACTAATCAAGAAATAGATTCTCAGCAATTACCAACATTAGATTATGTAGAGTAAAATGCAATGAATGACTAGCATATTTTATTTTGAAGAATTTCATCTGACAAGAAAGTTAGCTCAAGTGGAAATAGCTCTCAGCCTCCAACCTTGAGGTTGGGCCGTTGAGTGATTGAGTCATAGGGAGAGAGGACTCTTGGGTTAACATGTAAAAAGTAATTAAAAGATTCTGAACATTTTAGTTGATCTAGTCAAATACGAAACCACAACTAGAGCAAAAACATAAATTTATTAAAATCACAATAATAATCATAACAATTGAATTACACCAAACAACAAATAACTGTGATAAAATAAATTGCAAAGGACTGAGAATGCAAATATTCCATCTCCCCTATAAGTATGCCTAAACTTCATAAAAAATTATTTGTTTCTATTTCAGTCTCCAAGCGAAGTTGTGACACGCTTATGCATAACATGATGCTTCAGGAGTTCAAGTATTTGATGATGATCATCGTCATCATTATCATCATCGTCGTCGTCATCATCTGTGGACTTCTCAGATGCTAAATCAACCGGAGGCAATAACTCCCCTTTATCTAGCAAAACAAGGGTTTCCTCGTAATTCTCATAGTAAAAAGAGTACATAGTACCAGCAATAGTGATTCTTATTGTTGTTTGCATCTCAGTATTATACACGGCTAGCATCCCTTTTATGTCTGTGAACAGTATTTTACGACAATCAGAAACAGCTATTACCATGCCTGAATTCCTTTGGCCCAATGCAACATTATATTCTTTGCTCCGTGAATCTGTGTCTCCATACCTTTTCATTACCCAAATGGAGCAACCGTTGTATGTTGGACCTATAATTTAAAAATTTAACGGTTCTGTATTAAGAACTTAAAGGTCAAATCGATCTAATTTATATCTTAGATACATTTTTTCGTAATAGTGCACAAATTCTTCTGAAATTCTGGATACGCCTCTGATTGCCATACGTATAAACATACGGCTCCCCATTACTAAAAAGCTTCAAAATGATACTAATAAAGAGTAGAAAATAAAGCAACCATCTCAACTAGAGATAAATGCCGAAAAACATAACAATTTAAAAGATAAAAGCATAAGAGGGATTCAAGCCACGATAAACAACCACCACTAGTACATTCATGGGCAAAGTAACCATTCTCACCAGCAAGTCTTGTCGCTTTGCTAGGGAATGTAGATAGAGTGAAGGCGGCGAAGGTGGTAAATACTCCGATGGTGGTGGTCGTGGCAGTGGTTGCTACGAATGTGGTGAGGACAGTTACTTTGCCCGTGAATGCACCAGTGGTGGTCGTTGATCGTGGCTTGAATCCCTCCTATGTTTAATCTTTAAAGTTATGTTTTTCGGTATTTATCTCTAGTTGAGATTGTTACGTTATTTTATGCTCTTTATTAGGTATCATTCTGAAGCTTTTTTGTTATGCGTAGTAGTTTTTCTGTTCATGTTGCAATAGATCCTCTCAATATAACTATACATGTACACAGGCAAAAATCAAAGTTCTCTACAATACAATCTTTCCTAGCAATCCTCTTGTGTTCTCTTAGCGATTCCAAAGTTTTAGGCTAACTTGATATAAGCAAGTGTCGCGAGAATGTGAGCAAATTGTCAAGTGTCACACGTGGAAGACTAAGCCCGTGACATTAAGCTGTATTAAAAGCTATCAGCTTACTAACTGATGTTATTCAGGAACTCAGCTGCTTGACTATTAGACAAACTAGAACAGAAAAGATTGCAGAGACTGAATGGATTGAATCAGATGGAATAATAATGTCATGGGAATTACAAGAGTAATATTTACTACTAAAAGTTTCCATATGTTTTGGCAAAGGCTGGAAATATTGTTTACTCCTGGCCACGGGAAAGGATTAAAGCTCCAACCAACGTAATTTGTTGCAGCTGGATAGTTGTGCATGAAGCTTACTTACCCGAAAGATAACAAAGAGAGGATTTGAACTTCAGAATAGATACTTTCTGTGTTCAGCAAAGGCAGAGAATGCAAAACATTTGTTGTTGCAGTACTGTGTGGTGATTAAACATTTTGGAATTCAATGGGCAAATAGTTTTGACAAGGCCCCCGTGAGCTGGTTCATATTCTACGGATTCAACTAAACACAATATTTTCAACACGAAATACAAATATTTATGTGTGAACTGTGTTAGGACCGTCCAGAATCCACTTAACCACATCAATGTATAAACGTATAGGCATGTTCAATGAACTTATAATATCATATAGTAGGACCTACAGTCCGCTTGTCTCACAAATACAAGAGTTTAAACATTACCTAGTTATAGTAAGGGTATTGTTTATGATGCAAACAACATAACAACAAATACAATGTGCAGAAAAATGCAGTATAAAACACCTACGATACTAGAGTGTGAAACTTCCTTGCGACCACCTAAAGCTATAAACAACATATGTCTCTAATTTCTTCATTCTCAATCTCTTCTATCTCTCTTCCATTTCTGCAGATCTATCGAGCTATGAAGCTACTATTCGACTTTCCCATTTTCTGTTATTTTTGTTATTAGCTTAGTTTGTAGTTCAATTCAGTTACCAATATAATCCAAAAATTGTTTCAAAAATACATTGTTAATTCGAATCTGCTCAGGATCATTACACAATTCTAGTCACGCCCCCAAGAAGAACATATACAAAACAAAACACGAGGAAAATAAACACACTCAAGCAGAGGAACCAAATATCAACGCGAGCCAAAACAAAAATCTGTAAATTGAAGGATCCTTTAGCCAAAAAGTCATCAAAATATTGTACTGTGGAGCATTGATTCACCTGGAATCCAAGAGTTCAAGTTGAAATCAACTAACTTTGACAGCCAGATGATCCACCACATAATTGAGATAACAGGTTTAATTCTAGACCTATTATATAACCAGTATAACTTATTTAATAATCAAAGCATCATCTCTACATCAAAAAGAAACGGTTTGCGAAGATGCAGCTGAAGACCAAAGACGAAGTGAGCAACATAAATGATCCACTGCGTATCTGATAAACCAACGGCTGAAAATATGATCTTTGCTTCTTATCATCCAAGAGAGAGCCCAGAAAATAGCAATTCCAACTCCTCATCCTGTGAAGTGGTTCTCTGCATATAATGTGAGACAATGAAAACATAAAACCCTCAATTCAAATGCTTAACAATTAACTCAAAGTCATAAGAAATCTATGATGCACTTATAAACAATACAACATCCCCTAGCAAGTAGTAGCGAAGTGATTGTAGAGCTGTAGTTCTTCTCCCTCCTAAAAACAAACTTGCTCTTATACTAATCATGATGGTGAAACAAAGCATGCTAGACCAGCAAACATCAAAACAATTTTATCACAGCTTCTCCAACAATTACTCTATAAATAAGTAGCCTGGAATTGTATAATCACCAAATTAGATGACTAGACTGACTAATGATCAGACAATGTGCCAAAACTTTCACGGGGCAGAGAGGGGAAAACAGCCACAAGAAGATATACAGATTGTGTGTGGTTTGAATTTCAACCGAACCATTCTTCTCCAATAGGAGCAGAAGGGGCTATATACTTTACCAGAGCATGTTATAGGAAGAGGAAATCTGTAATAGGCCAATCTGTTTCAAATGATCAAGAGGATTCCTAAATCTCTAGATATGAGGCCAATTCCTAGTCATACTATTCTTTTAAACACACAAAACATCAAGCTAGTAATTGTTAATGTCATACAACTGATATAGGCCAGAATTCATACAGGAATATCTCTCGCTATTTCCTTGAATATACCCAAAATTATAAGAAGAGCCTAATGCCAACAATCTTACAACACAAGGTGACATTTATGCATGGAACACATTGAGAAAGTAAATGGCTTGCATTTTCCCCATACAGAGTCACTCAGCCCTCTAGGATAGCAATAGAAGTCATCTTCCACATGCTACAAAGTCAATAGCAATATATCAAATGCTTGAGACCCTTCATAAACAAAAACAGGCTGTGATCACTGAATTTACCCCTGTATAATGTAGCATTGTAGTAATGAGACCTCAAGCATGATATGTTGTGTGCTCAAGTAGGATGTTTAAAAAGGTCTCCTTTTCCCATAGCTACTTATTCGTAGAACACTAAAATACACAACTATAAAACACGAGCAAAAGAGATCACAATGACCATATATCCTAAACACGAACATAATCTCCCCCTAGCCCATTGAATGTATGCACCATGTACCTGAATGGACATAAGTTGCAGGATTTTGTTAAGGACGCGCATCCGATGAGTTGCATATGTACTGCTTGGTGGAAGTCTACTCACTCTCTTCATTTCTTCATGAACTGCTCCCATTTTCCCTTCAGATCCCATCTGCCTAAGTGCATCATTAGAAGACTGGGTGCTAGGGAGGCCGTCTTTGGGAGGATTTAGGGCACAACTGTGATTAACTTGATAGGAATGATCCATTGATGATTGAACCACCTATAGATAAAAGGACATATTTAAGCAATGATAAAACCAGAACCTCACAAGAGAAATGCTAGGTCAAACAGGCTCTAAGTTAAAATCCCTAACAAATACCTAGATAGGCAAAGGGAATTGAACTTTATAACACCTAACTACGCTCCATGCGTTGCACCAGTTCGGCTAAAAATTACATAAGTATATATATCAGAAGTTTAACAAGATAAAGCAAAACGGAATTCCAGAATACGAGATAAATACCTAAACGACGGCAATTGAAATTCTCTGCCGCCTCCGGTTGCCGATCGGAAAATCTTTTGCGTCCAGAGAACGTAGTAGCGGACCGTATCGAACAATCCAGAATATTTCGGGTTTCTAGAAAACGGGAGATTCTATTCTCTCTAGAGTAAAAAAGAAAACGATTGAAGTTAGAAAAATATCACTCTGACCCCTTAAGAATTGTATAACCTTTATTTTAAAAGGCTTTTACTCGATGGCGTGAGCCGAGTCATTTTATATGATACGAGAAATTGCAAAGTAACTCTCAAAGCTCATCTTAGAACATTGACAACTTATGGGAAGTGTACATATAAATTGCTTTGAGATTCACATGTGGATTTAATTTTGTGAGGTTTATTTTCATTTTATACACTTAATTTTAAATGTTTTAAAATTCACTTAATTGTTAAATAAAATGACATGTCAAATTTTTTAATTAATTATTCAAAATAATTAAATTGTTTAAAATTTAAAATAAATATTTATTTTTTTATATTTATTCTTTCGTTTAATGAAATTCGATATTTTTTTTAAAAATAAATTATCATATTACTTGAAAAGTTATATTAGTGATTTCAAAGGAGAATAATCAAAAGTATTGTTTAAATAAGTGAATATGGAAAATAGAGAGTAATTTGGAACGAGTTCAACTTTTTGTTAAAAAGTTCATACTTAACTTCATTTCATGTCCGAGTTCGTCATTGTCTTACCTGCTTTCCTGCAGCCTACTTAAGCCCGTTGATTTACTGTAACATCGAACGGCTTAAACTTACGATCCGCGTCATTCAAAAGTAACCAATGAACAGCAAGCCTAAGCTAATATATAATAAGTCTCTTCACCCCTTTCACTTCACACCATTCAAACTCAAAAGCCCTCCAATTTCTTACTAATTTCCGAAATCTCCTATCAATGGCACCAAAGGCAGAGAAGAAGCCAGCAGCTGAGAAGGCTCCTGCTGCCGCCGCTGAGAAATCAAAGGCCGGCAAGAAGCTACCCAAGGACGGCGGAGCCGCTGCTGCCGTAGACAAGAAGAAGAAGAGGTCGAAGAAATCAATCGAGACTTACAAGATCTACATCTTCAAGGTGTTGAAGCAGGTTCATCCAGATATCGGTATTTCAAGCAAGGCTATGGGAATCATGAACAGCTTCATCAACGATATCTTTGAGAAGCTTGCTCAGGAATCTTCTAGGCTTGCTAGGTACAACAAAAAGCCTACCATCACTTCTCGGGAGATTCAAACTGCTGTCCGATTGGTCCTTCCCGGTGAATTGGCTAAGCACGCCGTCTCTGAGGGTACTAAGGCAGTTACCAAATTCACTAGCTCTTAGAGATTTGTATTCGATTTTTTCTGTTGGATTTGTGATTTCAATTAGCGTTTTGGTGATGTAAAGAACGGGAAATTGAAATATAACATAGATTTGATGAAATTGACTCTACTCTTTACATATTGTATATATGAATTAAGGCTAATATACTACGATATCATGGAGAAGCCGACAAAATATTTATTTTTTGTTTAATGGCTATCTATCTACATAGCCAAATTAAAACTATAAAAAATTAGGCATAAATTAAAAGTTCAGAAATAATTAGGTATTGTGCCTACCTGATTAATAATACTAACTAATACAGCAATTGCAGATCAGTTTGAGAGTTGATGAAGGGAAAACAGGAATCTGTAAAGCTATTGAATTCTATCGAACTTGTAAACTGTTCCATGAGGTGCGGGGAAATGGAAATTTGGAACTTGATGAATTTCGGCAAAGAAACCATGAAGAAGGTATGTGAAATTTCTTGCAGTTACAGCATGGAGGCTGTTAGAAAGATGGACGAAATTGTTAGAGTTAAAGGCCTCGAAAAACTTGGTGCATATATGGCGGATGATGAAGGTCGTGCTAAGATGGTTTATTTCAGTGCAAAATTCGTCAAAAATGCTTCACTTTATGCATTCAAGGAAGCAGCCAACATCTTAATTCCTGGTTAGCTCCTCTCTCATTTTCCGATGCTCAACTTTTTTTACTCTTCGTTTAAAAAGTGTAGTTGTGTATGGCCTAGTAATCAATGATGTGGATTGAAAATCATAATATTTACGTGTTCAGTACTGTGTAGAGGCGAAAAACACTACTCCGCTCTAGGTGAACACACAAGCTGATTCATATATGGTGTTAGAGGTCAAATGGTTAAATGTTATGTTACAACATTAAAAGAACGCGTCAATAGTGTTAAATTCTTTACATCGTTAGTGTATAGAAGTTAAAAGCAATGAACTAGAGAAATGTAATATAATGTTTAGGTGAAAACAAACAGAGATTTGGTCAGTATGATCAACTTTAATTTTCATGTGTTTACGCAGGTGGGAGGGCATTTGCCAAAATTTTCGCTGAAACAGTTCGTGAAATAGAAAGTGAGTCGAAAAATGATGCCACTGGTAATGTCGCAGCAGATATGCTGAAGTTGGGTTCTGAAACTGGAGTCCATGTTGATTCATTCACACATCAAACACCTGAAGATGTCTTGAGATTCTTCATGATGATGGAATTCATGGGCACTCGTTATCTCGACTCTTTGCTAGTTTCTGATCACGTATAATTGAAGTAAAATTTCATAGTTAAATTCAAGTTACCTCTTTGTTTTCAATAGTATGAATACTGTCTCATAACATGTGGCATTACTATTTCTAAAAATAAAAGAAAATACTTAAAAATTATGTCATTATATAGATTTGAATAATACACAAACGTGCGTTTCTAAATGGACCTTAAGTATTATGCTATTTATATGTTATGTCTTGAATAATTCATTTATTTTGAACCAAAAAAAACACAAATAATTTGAGACGGAGAGTATATTGTGACCTTGTAGTAGTATAAAGTTGAAATTTTCTTTGAAGCTGTTAAGAGTGCCAAATGGGTACTTCATATAATTCCGATCTACTCTTCCGGGGGGATGGAAGACAAGACGGGAATTTGGGATTTCATTACTTCCGGCAAAGAAAAGGTGATGAATGTCTGTCATCGCATTGGTGATGGTGAAGGTCGTGCTAAAATCGTTCATTTCACAGCAAAATTCGTCAAAAATGCTTCATTTTATGCCTTCAAAGAAGCAGCCAACATATTAGTTCCTGGTTTGGTCCTTCTCAAATAATTTAAAACTTCTATCCATCTTGATTGTATCGTATGTTTAAATTCATTGTTAGCTAACGTAAAGTTTCTTTTTTATGCAGGTGGAAAGGAAATCTCCAAAATTTATACTGATACGGTTAGTGAAATAGAGACAGAGTCTAGAGAGAAACAAAACAGGTCTTGTGACGACAAAATAATTGGAAATTTGAGTAAGATAACTAATGGTAATACTAGTCCTGTGATATTGCTTGATAGAGCAGAGAAGCTGGAAAGCACAAGGGAGGGTTCTGAAAACAGTGTTCAAGTTGATTCATTTGCATATCAAACACCTGAGGACGTTCTGAGATTCTTCATGGTGATGGAATTTATGGGTACTCGTTATTTGGATAATTTGTTGGTTCATGATAATCGTCAACGAAAGAATGTGTAGTTTGTTTTAGTATATGTATTAGCACATCGAGTCTCGCATGTGTTAGTTATTAGTATAATTGGATTGCTAGTTAAATCTTGGTTATTGTTTTGTTTCCTTTGAAACTCCCCATGATGGGAAGCAAATCTCATAAATACACTTTAGTGATCATAGTAATAAAATTAAAATTATTTTTTCACTTTGACACGTGAAGGCAAGCAATTTATATATCGATAAGGGTATATATAGCATTATTCTTAAGTCACTTTTAGTGGTGCATGTATTTCCCTTGAAATGAATGTCTTTTTTTTTCTTCTTATTACTTTGTTTAATTTCAACTTTCTATATGACATATTTAAATTAAAGGTTATATGACATTTTTGTACCTTCTACGTATATTTGATCTAGATACAAGTTTCAATTTTATTTCTTTTTCTTAAATTTGTGTCAAATAAAAATCAATAAAACAATTATATATGTCTAAAACCATCTACTTCATTGTCATGTCTAAATTTTTTTAGGTGAAAAAAATAATAATATACAAGTATAATTAAAAGGAAAAATTATATATAATGGTAAATTAATAAATCAAATTAATTGCTATAATCATTCTTTGATTTAACTGTGTCCCGTAGCAAACTGTTTGTCAATCACCTCTCTCCCTCAAACTCTCGCTCGCCACTCTCCTCTCGCGCTCCATCTCTCGCTCGCTTTCTCTCAATTTTATACAAACACAAGTGTATAAAATCTGTTTCTATTTATATAAAGTGAGAGGAAATTGTATAAATACATATATTTTTGTTCTCCTCTCTCCCCTCTTCCAGATCTCGCTTGCCATCCTCGCCTCTTTCGTTTATACAAATAGAAACAAAATGTATAAATTGCATTTCTGTTTTTATAAAGCGAGAGAAAATTGTGTATACACATGTAAATATATATATTCGTCCTGTACACTTATAATTATGCAATAAAAATACTCCCCTGCCCAGTTTCTTTTGGCTTTCTGTCTTTCTCATTTTATACAAATTCAACTTTTATATAATCTCTCTCTTTCTCGTTTTATACAATTCGATCTAATTGTATATTCTCTGCCAAAGTTTCTTTTGTCTTTCTCTCTTTCTCAGTTTATACAAATTCAAATTGTATACAATCGTTCTATATATTTATAATTATACAATTCATTTATACACTTTGTTTTATACAATTTTCTGTCCAAATCTTTTTCTCTATCTCGTTTTACACACTTCGTTTTATACAATTCGCTTCAATTGTATATGTATAGCGAATTGCACATTTATATGTTCGCTATGGAATGCAATTATGCAAACTTTATTATAAAATACAAATACAAATTTTATGTTTGTTATACGTAAAAATTGTCATAATTAAAAAGCTATTGTTGACATTTTCAACAATACAAAGGAGGCAAGAAAAAAAGCATAAGTTTGGTTGCACTTCCCAGTGTACTAGCATTTTTCGAGTTCTCCTAGTTCCCGATTTAAGCAAAAGGGCAAAAATGGGAATTTGGGACTTCATAAGCTCCGGCGCAGAATCGGTGAAACGGAACACACCGGATCTAGCAACTCCGGTGACGAAGGTATGCAAAGGTACCTATTATTACAGTGCGACCGCCGTTAAAATGATCGACAACGTCGTTCGAGTTAGCGGCGTGCAGAAGCTGGGTCAGTACAGTTACATGCCTGATGAAGAAGGCAGGGCTAAAATCGTCAGTTTCAGTACAAAATTCGCCAAAAATGCTTCTGTTTATGCAATCAAAGAATCAGCCAAGATCTTCCTTCCTGGTTTGCTCCCTTCTCATTTTACGAAATCAGACTTTGTGATAAATTTTTCAAAAAAAAGGAAAATTTGATGAACAAACAATGTTTTCAACTTTTAATTTTGGGCGAAACTTGACTTCCGCTCTCAAAAATTCATTTTTTTTCCCAAGTAAAATACATATGTAGGAATCGTTTGATAAGTATAAAAATGACTTAAAACGATTTGATATTTTTTATTTTTGACTTTGTTTAAGCCAATTCAAACGGGATCTTAATAAAGTAGTTGATTGTTCTGAGTTTCCGGGTTCAAATCTTGGTAGATAAAAACACTAGGTGATCCTATTGGTTCTAGCTTTGGTGGACAAAGTTAGATGATACTGATTGCTGGTGGGAGATATCCTGTGGTATTAGTCGAGATACGTGTAATCAAACACCAAAGTCATAAAAAACAAAAAAGTAGCTATCAAAACCTTAAGTGACAATAGGGAAATGAGTAAACGTGTAGTCACCTATTGGAATTCTTACCAATAAATAATAACTAAGTGAAATTCTGGAGAACTTTAACCTAAAAAAGTAGTGTTCATGTGTGCAGGTGGAAAAGCAGTCTCCCAAATTTACTCTCAAACAGTTCGGGAAATGGAAGTCGAGTCTAAAAATAATCAGAACGCATCATGCAACAAGGAAATAACTAGCAATTCGAGTAAGGTTGCCACTAGTACTGGTCCTCTGGGATTGCTCAATGGGGCAGAGATGCTGGAAAACAGAGAACTGCAGTTAAGTTCTGAAAATAAAGCTCAGGTTGATTCATTTGCTCATCAAACACCTGAAGATGTTCTACGAGTTTTCATGATGAAGGAATTTGTTGGCTCTCGTTATCTGGACAATTTGCTGGTTCTTGATCATCCACACAACAGAAGAAAGCGTAATTGATTCTAGTATGTATCTTTGACATTCTCGTATATATATATGTTTGTGTTACTGGCTTGTTCTTAGTGTATGTTTGTTTGTATGTATATCTAACTTCTAAGTTACCTCTTTGCTTTGGAAATCGCTTACTGGGAAGCAAGTTTTGTATAGTTATCTTCGATAACAATTTGAACTGCAGTATCACGAGTTTGAATATGTGTTATCTCTTTGTTTTGCTTCCTTTGAAAGTTCCATGACAAGAAGCAAACTTCATAGATGACTCTATGATTGTATTGCAATTTGAATCGTAGAATCATGACGAGTTTTATTGAATATGCTTGTAGTTAGAATTTAGAATTAGTCCCTTTCTATCTCTATGGTAAGTGTAAGATTTGTGTACACTTTATTCTTTCAGACTTGACTTTATGAGACTACACGAGATATATTGTTGTTTGGACGTTATTAAAGCCTTCTTGAGTTTGAAACTCTGAGATTTTACACTACCAAACTCCAGATACATAAAAACTAAAGTATGCATCACAAATTCCAAAAAAAATAATAGTTTACTTTATCAATAGAATTATTTGCTAATCAGGAGATGACTTGTTAAACATTTGCAATTGAAAAAGATGTATTTGAGCAAGATCCTTGTGCTCATGAATTTGGTATGTCATATTGAGGCTACCATTTCGAGTTCTTTCATAATTGAAAATAAATCATTAGTGTCGTAGCTTAGTAAAATAGTCTAGTTTTAAAAGTAATTATTCAATCATTCCATTGTTTGAAATTAATTTAGAAAATTCACTCTCTCAAATACCTTGACACACAGTTAGGATCGAAAATAAGCAGGTGTAAACGCAGAAGCTAGCAAAGCAAATCTCGAAAGACCACGAGTAAGAAAACAAACGAGAAATATACCAAAAGATACAGATTTAAGGTGGTTCGGTTAATCAACCTACGTCCACAAAGGAGATGAATAATTTACTATAAATATGATGGTACAAAATACAAGGAGAAATAACCTCAACCAATTCACTTGGAATAAATGGAAGCTTCACACAATTGATAACGTATTAAACTTGTGACCCATATATTCTTTCCCTAACCAAAACTCTCAAATCTCTTAAGATTATATTGTGAATGTTGATTAAGTTATGAGTAACATGATAGTCCTAATCTTTTCCTACCGGAAAAAAAATTAAAACCCAACAACATACTCGTCTTGGAACCAACCTCAAGTTTTTGTTAGGTTTATTATTGCTACGATGATATTATATTTCACTGTAAGGTATAGGATTGGACGTGGCAATTTTGATGGCCAAGTTAAAATAATTCCTTAAATATGCATTGAGCAATATTTGGTAAGTATTTTAAATCTTCGTCAAATATTTATCAAAATATATTGGTTAGTTTTGACAAAAAAAAGATGTGGAAATATTTTTTAATTATAATTTTTTTTAAATCTTACATATAAGAGATTTTCATCTTTCTGTCTAAAAAAATCTTTAAAAAATTATTTTTCTCTATTTTAATTATATAAGAAAACAGGAAATCTTGTTTCCTCTCATTTTTTTAAAACATATAATTTGTCACTCTCTCTCCATATGTCACAAAAAATAACTCTGGAAATAAATAAGTAAAATTTTCTCGATTTTCTTGAGTTTATTGGAGTTTTCATAACATTTGCAATTTTGTTGTCACCAAAAAATAATAAAAATTAGAGCTTATAATAGAATATTTTACTTTAGTATATTTCAGTAAAATAGCATGACAATGTGGTTGAAGTACATTTCCCCCCTAATTTTTTAATTAGGTAAAAAGAATAATGAGTGGTTTTTTTATTTATCACTAAAAGTTATGGAGAAATGACTTTTAATTAAAAGATTTTGAATTTAATTTTGAATACGAAGTTGTTTCTGTCAAGAATACTCCATTACCATGCTTCAATTGTCCATGGATGAACTTGGAGAAAAGTTGGAGAGGATGTACGTTTAGAGAGAAAACAGAGAAGATGGAAGTTTGGGGAAAAAGTGTGAGTTTATTATGAAGGTATCACACATTTATACAATGCAGAAAAAATAGAAAATATCTAAAGCTGTGTAACAAGAAAATAACAGAAATAAGCTAACTAACTGCTACTGTTCTAACTAACTAACTGCAGTAACTAATATAATGATAGTGTTAACTATAATTATCAATACCCCCCCCCCCTAAAGTTGGAGGTGTGGAAAACACAGATAACTTGCTTAATGCTGAGGAATGTTTGATTCCTGTCAATGTCTTAGTCAATATGTCTGCTAACTGATCATCAGAACTTATGTGATGCAGCGAGATGAGGCCTGTCTTGAGTAAGTTCCTCACAAAGTGGCAGTCAACTTCAATATGTTTGGTGCGTTCATGAAACACTGGATTTCGAGCTATATGTAGAGCCGACTGACTGTCACAATACACCTCAATAGGTGCAGGTAATGTCAATGTTAGTTCCTCCAATAGCCTTTTCAGCCATACCAGTTCTCCTGCAACTTTCCTTAGAGCCCT